CCCCAAAACCCCAAAACCCCAAAACCCCAAAACCCCTTATTCTGACAAGTTACTGAAATATACAGTCTCATTTACAAAATACTCAGGTGGGTAACCTATGCTTTACTCTTAACTCTTATCCAAGAGTTTAGTTTTTGGGAAAGAATACGCATTTTAAATGATTTTTCAGGCTCTTTCTGGTAAAATGATGATATCTTGATTATTTTTCTAGAGTTAGGAATTCTGATCGCCTTAGGAAAATTGCTGGCTTTTAGTCCATTCAGAGTAAGACTTTCTGAATGAGAAGCACTTCTGTTATGTGTCTTTCTGTAGCTCAGAGAATGATCAGAGATGTTATTATAAATCTTGATTGATCTTTTCGAATTCTTCTTACACCTACTAGGGTATTTAAGCATACTTCTGTTGGAAAGTACTACCAAAGCATTTGCTTTACTACTATGATATTGATGCAATATTACCTATTTTGGACTGGTTCATCAGCTCCAATATATTTAAAATCTCTTGATTTACTTCTTCCTTTAAGTTTGAGTTGTATGAGTCTTTTTAACTGCGACCTGATCTTAACCGGAGGAACATGAAGCTCATCATCTTCAAACAGTTTTGAATCGTTGTAACTAGCATTTGTCCTTTTAACACTTTCTTTATTGATATTTACATCTTTTCTCTCAGTGTTAAACTGTTGAACACTTGGGTGCATGTTATGACCTTTTGGAATCCTTTCAAAATGATGGAATTCTGTCGGAACCTAAATTTGTTATGCTAAACAACAAGGCTAGCCTCAATAACAGGACCCAAGCCCCAGATCAAGATGAGGAGGATGTCATACTACAGAGTTTTGTCTGCTGGGATACTCCGTTGTCTTATTTCTCATTCTTATTGTTCTTTAATCAATTAGGTTTTCTTTTAAAAATGTTCAGAACAAAAGTAATTAAATTATTCTTACCTAGGATGCATAGGTACCGGATCTCAACTAGAAGTTTCTTCCTGGATCAAATTTCTCTCACGTTTCTTAAAGTTATTCCTGGGTTTTCTAGGATTACTTTGTTTTGCCTTTGGGTAAAAAGTCATATAAGGATCATCAAGCCCCGTTTTCATAAAGTGTCTAAACTTCTGCTCGGTGGTCGCTAACCCTTTCATAGTTTATATTTCAATAATTTTTTTGGTATTTGGGGTTTTGGGGTTTTGGGGTTTTGGGG